CTCCTCCCCCCCAGCCTGTGGAGGGCACATCCACCCTGGCACTCCTGCCCTCCTGGTGTAGAGTGTACCCCCTGCCAACAGGCTGGCAATAAACATGAGCTCTGTCCTATGATCTGTTGGGCTTGGAAATGCTGGTCCAGTGCCCAACAGAACTGCGGATCCCCACCCACAGGGGTGGGCTCTGCCTGCCCGTGGCCCTGGGGAGGGTCTCTTGCCATCAGGCCCCTTCTCTATGCCGAGAGCACATTGCCTGTCACAGACCTCTCTCACTCATGCTGGTTCATTCTTTCTCGACTTCTTTCCTTTCTTCAAATACATCGTTGACCTCTTCCTCCGGCTTTGCACCTGCTGTTCCCACTCCCTGGAATGCTTTTCCCTCAGGTCTTCACTTGACTGACGTCTCCCTTCTCATCTCAGCTCAAATGTCAGCTGCTCATACCAGCCTTCCCAACGCCACAGCCCACTCCCTGCTCCATGTTCTCTGCATTAGCCAGCTTCATGGCCCTTTACGCAACCAGAAGGTTATATTGTTTATTCATTGTCCCCACCCCCCACCCCACATAATGTCAGCTCCTTGGTATGGGAACCTTGTCAGTCTGTCTTGGTGTCCCCAAGAGCCAGCTCAGTGTCTAGCACGTGGTGAGCACCTGGTAAACATTTACTGGCTGAATGAATGAACAAGTGCCACGCCTGTGCCAGGACATGTGCCCCAGGCATTAGTGGAAAGAGCATGGCATTGGAGGTCTGCATGCTTGCCAATCCCAGCTCTGGCCTGGGCCGGTGCACCTCGCTGAGCCTGTTTCCTCACCTGAAATGGCTGGGCTGAGCTACGTCAGAGTTGGAGTTTATTAATATATGGACCAGGAGGAAGTCAGGCCCGTGGTATCTGTGGCCCCAGCAGAACCTGCCAGTCTGTGGCTCATTCATTCAGCAGCTATTTATGCATTATTGTGCTGTGCCAGACACTGCTCGGGGGTCGGGGGTTCAGCAGGGACAAACCCAAGTCCCTGCCCTCCCGGACCTCTCATTCTTGTGGGGCTGCAGACACGAGTAAGATAAATTAGTAAAATGTAGTCTTTTCCCTCACAGTCAGCGCTGAGGAGCTAAGGGTAAAGCAGGGGTGAGGTTTAGGGTAAACTGGGGGAGGCACACCCAGGCAGCTTGCGAAGGGGGCGAGGAGCAGGCTCCTTGCTGGGGGCTGACCAGGCACCCTGACCCCAAGGAGGGCGTGTGGGCGCAGCCCTGGGCCTTCAAGCCTGCCTCTGATTTTGTTCTCCGTGAGAGTGGACAGCCAGGCTGATCAAACACCCTTCTTTCCACCCCCCAGAGACCTCCTCCTCCTCGCTCAGCGTGGGGGCCTACATCTTCATCGGAGTGGGGGCTGTCACCATGCTCATGGGCTTCCTGGGCTGCATCGGCGCTGTGAACGAGGTCCGCTGCCTGCTGGGGCTGGTGAGTAGCCCCCCCACTGCCCGCGCAGCCCCTGAGCCCGGCCCTGGCCCAGATTGGGGGGGAGCATCTGAAGTGGGACCTGGTGGGGGGCTCTCAGCTGACTGCCTGCTCTGTGTCCCCAGTACTTCGTCTTCCTCCTCCTGATCCTCATCGCCCAGGTGGCCTCTGGTGTCCTCTTCTATTTCAACATGGACAAGGTACACACCCCCTCCCTCCCGACCCCCAGCCTGCATCGACCCACCACGTGGGGGATCGCTTGGGGGTGGGGGGTAGACAAGAAGACTCAGTTGTCCCAGACAAGCCCAGCAGGTTCGGGCAGCCCCCTTGGTGACTAACGGTGGGCTGTTAGATGGGACAGCGGTGCCTGTGGGCAAAGTCCCTCCTGGGTGGATCCGGTTCCACCCCACCACCTTCTAGCCCTGTGGCCACTGTGCCAAAATGCTTGCCTCTCTCTGCCTGTTTCACCTTCTGTAAACTGGGGACAATAATGAAATTTAACTCTTTGGGTTGTTGTGAAGGTTCAGTGAGATTATGTTAGTAAAACATCTAGCATTGTGGTTGACACGGGAAGGACTCAAAAAAATGTTTATTGTTCTCATTACTGTTAAGGCTTCTTAGCACAGATGAGGCCCAGGGGAGAGATTGTCAATAAAACATTAGTCCTGTGTCAGAGGGACTCAGCTTTGTGGAACAGAAGATTAGATTTACTGTGGCTTCAAATCTAAGGATGCTTGTGAAATAACCAGAAGTCTAGTTTGGAAGCTCAGAGACTATGGTTCTGGCTGCCTCTTCAGCATCCCCATCATGATGGCTTTTCCACGTCATGCCACTCACCTCATGGTCCCAAGGTGGCTACCACCACCCCATCTTGTGCTGCTGTGGCCCAAAGAAGGGGCATGGGGCAATGCCAGCCATGGCCATCCCTTTTATCAGAAGAGCAAGCCCCCTAAAAACATCCCCAGATTGGGTTACAGAGGCACTCCTGGCTTTGAGGGTGGCTGAGAAAGTATCTAGCTTTCCGACTCTAAAGACAGAGGCACAATGAGCCAGGAGTGGCTGCTGGATGAGCTGGTCAATTGTGATTATCACAGTTATTTATGGGACACCTACTGTGTGCACATGGTATCTTTTAGAAGCTTTACACACATTGTCTTTCCTCACAACAGCTCTGTATGGTAAGTATTGTGTTGTCAGACAGGGAAACAGATGCTCAGAGATATTAGTAGCAATAACAACATCAGTAATAGTAACTATAACCTCCACCATCCCTACCTTGGTTCAGCACACACTATATGCTGAGTCACTGTTGGCCACTTTACATTCATTCTTTTGCCAATCCCCACCGCGCTCTCCCAAGATAGTGTGAGAATCCTAGTCCTACAGGTGAGGGCACCCAGCAGGTCAATGGCCAGACCAGGGAAAACTCAGGCTCCGTGGCTCCAGTAGGAGTTCACCATGGCCCAACTGAGCTGGGGGCCTGCCTTCCCTAGCGCTATAGTTCTGGTCCACCCAGCAGGTGGCAGACCCTGCAGCCAGGTGGGCTCCTGCATTTTACCATTTAAAGGTCAAGTTGCCTCAGATCCCTCTTAGAAGGAAGCTGAGAAAACATTACACCATCAACAACTAACACTTATAACTGAGAACAAGTCTGGAACTGAATGTCGTGCACTTACTGTATTTAATATTTGGTCCTCACAGTTCTGTGAGATCGTGGATATGAATACCCTCATTTTCAGATGTGGAAGCTGAGGCCCAGAGAAGTTAAGCAACTTGGCCAGAGGTCACACAGCTAGTAAATGGCAGCCTGGCTTCTGGGTTCATGCTGGTGAAATTTTCTTTGTGGTGGTTCCCACCTGAATCTGCTTTACCTAATTACAATCCACACCTGGCCTGTTTCCCAGGAGAATTGGACCTGACTTCCAACATAGACACAGGGTAGCTAAAATCAAAATGAAAGAGATCAGAATGCACACAGAGAGAGGAAGACCATTGTTCCTGAAGCCACAGGATGAGATTCTCATGTAGCTGAGAGCTAACTTGAACACTGAGCTCCCTGGCAGTCAAGGCAAAAGGGGAAATACAGTTTCAGTAGATGAAAGGAAGCTTGCTTAGCTATCACACAGGAAGCAAATACTTAGGGCAGGGAAACTCCTTTACTACAGAAAGGGCTATGGGATCAGTGCGTGGGGCTTCTCTGGGACTCAGTCAATTTTACATTATAATCAGGGTGGGCAAGAACTGGGCCTCAATGAACTGGTTCCTCTGACTCAGGCTGGTTGACTCTGCAGGGTGTCAGGCAGTCTACTTTCTCACCCCTGTGTGTTTCCCCATCTCACAGTAATAAAGGTGGTACCCATCTGTGGACACCAACCACATGCTAGGAGCTGACTGTGTAACTTGACACACGTTTCAGTTTTACAATCGTTTTCCCCTTTAAGAAACTGAGGCCCCAAAAAGCAAAGTGACTTTTGGCTACGATCACACACAAGACAGAGGTGTCAGAGCAGAGATTTCCCTCCACTTCCTTTGACTTGCCTGTGCCTCCCTCTACACCACACTGCTTCTCCACAGGATGGTACAGTCTCTGCTTGGCTCGTGACCAGGAGCTGCACTTTGGAGGTGTCCCCCAGCTCCGGAGCAGGGCTTGTGTGGAGGATCACTTCTCCCGACTCCAGGCTAGGCTCTGTCCCTCAAACTCACTGTCCCCTTCTTTGCCTCCCTCACCGCCCCCAGGCTCAACACCTCCCTCTCCTGGTCCCAACTCCCTCCCCTTGGCCCACCTCCTCTCTGGAAGGCAGGGGAAATTTTCTGGCTTTTTGGGGGAAGTTCTGGCGCCAGCCTATCGCCTAAGTTGGAATGAATGATTTATTTTTTCTTTCCTGGCACATTGTAAATCCCAGTGGAAGACTAAACATGCCCTTGATGGTGTTTACTCCTGCAGATGAGGCCCAGCTGGGGAGGGGGGACTGTGAGCCTGAAGGAGAGGCCTGTTCAAGGCAGTGGGCCCATCTTCCCCACTCTCCAGGTTCCTGGGCAGGTGGGAGGGACTGAGTCTGTGGGCTCCCCATGAAGCGCTCTCCAGGCTGCCATCTGTCTTTCCTGCTCCACACTTTCAGCAGCCACCGTTTCCAAGGCAGCAACAGAGGACCGCTGGGTCCTTGGGCAAGGCACATGGCCTCTCCAGCCTTGGGTTCTTCGATTACAAATCGAGAATAAACCTTCCTGGCCCCCACCCCCACCCAGGAGCACCAACTGCAGCTTGTTTATAAAATACAGAGTGGTGGCCCAGGGCCTGACTCCAGAATCAAACTGCTCCTATTGGATCCTCTGCACTGAGACCCCTAACAAGTTACTTAGTCTCTCTGGGCCTCAGTTGCCTCTTTGGCCACATGGCAGTAAGCACACAGGTCCACTGTCTGCCATCTGCAGTTCTGAAACCCAAAACTACTTTGATCACTCTCCCCCCAAAAAACTATCTGCAATTCATTTTGTGGCAAAATGGACTTGAATGGAAGTGAGGCTACTGATGGCCCTTGTGTGCCCCATTCAGGTGTCCCTTGGGAATGTGAAGGAGGGGTTTTGGGTTGTGACACATGCCCTGATCCCTCTGTAAAACTGGAACATCTCAGTGCCGGAGCACAGAGGTCCCAAGGGCCACCTTGGAGCACTGTGGCGACATGTGGGGAGGGCTCAGTGTAGCACTGGCCCAGAGCAGATGCTCGTGGTGTCATTGCAAGTGTTGTAGTTATGGTCACCGTCATTAACTTCATTAACGCTTAGTAAGGGCTCAGTAACTGGCAGCCGTTCCTGTTGTCGGTATCAATATTAGTGTTAGCAAGGGCTTTGGGGACCAGGAAGTGTAAAGCTGCCATTCCCCTGGCTGCTGCCTTGCCTGACTGTTGATCCAGCCTCCGTTCAGTGGGCAAAGGGCAGTTCTGGGATTCAGGGGCTCCGAATTGTAGGTAGGCTCTGCCATTGATTGCTGTGTGTGCTTGGACAGGTTACCCAGCCTCTCTGAGCCTCAGGTAACCTCTCAGGCCATCCCAGGCTCTGATGGTCTGGCATTCTGACTTGTTCTCTGCAGGCAGTGGAGGGTGAGAGGCAGGCAGGGGGGAGGAAGTGAACTGATACTGTCTCCCATGGTTTGCTGGGCACTGGGCTGGCTGTACGCAAGCAGTCACACTTCTAACCCGCCCAACAACCTGCACAGGTGAGGCTGCTAAGGCCCCGAGGGCTTATATCAGAAGCTCAGCAGAAGACCTGGGGGAGAGAGCTTGG